CACGCCTTTCCACCTATATCGTGGTATACTCAGAAAATTCTACTTTTTTTCTTTTCAGGACTACATTTCTGCTGGTGCCATAGTTAGAGAAGACTTGTCGGATGCCCAACTAATCATATCTGTTAAGCAGGTACACGCACATTCAGTTTTTCTTGCACAACTCTTTCTCTTTTAATGACTACTAATTTTTATGTATTGGTATGTTCCAGGTGCCTATTGATCAGCTGATACCCAACAAGACCTACGCTTTTTTCTCGCACACTATTAAAGCTCAACAGGACAACATGGAAATGTTGGACACCATTTTGCAAAGGGTAAATTGACTTGTGTTGACCAGCACTTATGTAATGCTTTTTGTTTTAAAAATTTTTTCAGAAAATTCGCCTGATAGATTATGAAAAAATCGTGGACAGGAAGGGCAAACGTTTGGTTATGTTTGGAAAATGGGCTGGAAATGCAGGTTTCATTGACATTCTGCACGGTCTTGGATTGAGGTTCGGCACTTACAAGTAACTTAGAGATAGCTTTCTCTTTAGACTTTGTTTGATTTCCTCAATGTTCAGATTGCTAGCACTTGGTCATCACACGCCATTCTTACACGTTGGTCTCGCCCATAATTACAGTGATTCTCATATGGCTATCAACGCCCTCCGCGATATCGGCTATGAAATCGCGCTCGATAAAATGCCAAGGTGGGTGAACTTCCATGAGTGAAAGTGTAGGGAGTATGCATGTTTCGCTCATACTAGGGTCTGGTATCTTCTCCCCGAACCGCATTCAGAAGCATAATTGCCATTCCTTTTTACTAATGGAGTTGAGCTGTTTGCGTCGGCACCACTGCCGGGCGAGCTTGGCTCTGTGGTCTGGAGAACCGTCCTGCTGGAAGGACAACGAGCTGTTCCAGGAAGCTGAGTAGAATCAGTGCTTCAATACGTCCATCAATATTCTCTTGAGTACAGGTCTTTGTCAATTTTCTCGCCGGCATCGACGAAAGCGATGTCTCACCAGTAGCCGTGACCCCCTTAACAAAAATCATTTTGCCGCTTTTAAACTGATCTTTGTGTGAGAGATTGCACATTCGATGTTTTTATCCAAACACTATTGTTTTTTTTTGAGAATGGTTTATCGTAAAAATTAGTTAGCCAGAGAAAACGAGGGGTTGCATGTCTCCAGTCAAGTGAGGTTGCAACTTTTTGCATTTTTTGGTCCTTCACTGTCTGTTAGGATCGGAACTAAGCGGCATTTTTGCATGAACAGAACGGTAATGAAGCTTTCGCTGACCATCTGCCTCACCGACAACTTCGATGAGTCTTGCTCCTTTGCCGTTTTCTTTTTTGATGGTCAGGATCACGATCGACTCGCAAACGAACCATTTAATATTCCCATATCAAGAAAATTGAGCTCTCTACCCCTTCCCACTCTGTCTTTGACTGCAACTTTTTTTTTGTATAGTTAAATAGCCATCTGCACGGATATTATAGAAATCACAAGGAATTTTATAATGCCCTCCCGATTCTCACACGTCAGTGAGTGCATGTGGCCTTGATTGAGTTTCAGCCATTCAAAAGATATTGGGAGTTTAACTCTATAACCACCGATATTGCAGTAAGACCTACTTGTGCAATTAACTAATATCAAAAAAAGTGAATCCGATGAAATACTTCTACTTTTGAAGTTTCTGAATTCCGGCGCCCATGGTTTTGGGGCATCCTGTAGATTTAAGGCGTTCAAATACAGAACTCTCCAGTGGTGGTCTTGAATTCGCGTGGAACACCAGCTTCCTTCCCTTCTTTTGTTGAAGCGACAAGGGTTTTTTTTTTGGGAGTCGAATATATCGCTGCACTCAGCTCTACAAGCTCAACAACAGTGCAGCGATATATTCGATTAACAACAAACCTCGTGTTGAACCAACTTTTAACAAAAGACGGGAAGGAGGCGGGTTTTTCACGCGAATTCAAGATTATTAGGGAAGAGTACTGTACTTGAAAGTCTAAAATCTACAGGCTAACCCGAAATCATGGGCGTCAAAAATTAATCATGTGTAAGCTCCGTATCCGAAAACGCTGATTTCGAAACGTGCTCTCAAGTTCGGAGGGTTATTTTATCTTAGTGCGAGAAGATAGCCTCACGATGAACGATCCCGGGCTACAGATAGTGATCTGTAATATTTTTGTAAACGACGTGATCCGAGATATGCGCTTTCTCTGTTGTATAGTCCTAACTACCATGGCAGTGGCTGGATTGACTACTTAAGAACTCAATTCGATTATATATCAACTTGAAAAAATGGATGTTGAACCGATTGCGATAAAAAACGCTAAGTCGTGCTTCCGAGCACATTTAGGATCTCTTGCATCTGGTTTTGAATAGTAAGTAATCGCTTCCCAACAAGTGATCCATTGAAATTGTTCTACACAAGGCAGGTGTCGTGTTAGGAATACGTAGGTTGCGATGGGACCAAGAGAAGCGAATCATTTCCAAATGTGTTATCTTCATAACAATATGGCGAATACCTAAAGGCACAGTTCACGATAATTTCGGGTAATCCAGATTATGATGAGAAATGAACGGCAAGATAGAAAATAGTGCGATGAAGGTGAAGAGACCGCATGAATCGGTGTTTCCAAAGTGAAAAAGGCTTCGAAAAACCGTGAAAAGGGGGCGGACGAGAGTGAGACCAAAAAAAATCAAGAAGAATGGGCGTTTGGACGATCTATACAATGTGCCTCACGGTGTGCGTTTGGGTCCTGCTGCTAATAAAAGACTATGGATAGCATAAATTCATTCGCTTACACGCATAAGAAAACAAAAAAAACCCTAGTAACAGCAAAAGT